TATATATAAATATATAAATATATATATATATATAAATATAAATATATATTATAGAAATATATATATATATTTGGTATATATATAAATATATATAAATATATATATAAATATATGAAAATATATATAAATACACCAGTATATTATATTCATATATTATATATAAACATTATTAATTTATTTTTATATTAATTATTTTATAATTATTAATTCATGAAATTAAATATTTAATTAATATTACTAATTAATTAATTTAACATCAAATTAGCAATATTCATAAATTCAATAATTAACTATCCATAGTGAATTATTAATAATGAATAATTATATTTAATTAGTATAAATATTATATTATAAATATATATGATATTATATATAAATATATGATGTGATGTGATATGATATGATTATTATATTAAATTATCTAATATGATATGATGTTATATGATATGATGTGATGTTATATGTCATGATATGATGTGATATGATGTGATATGATATTGTATGATATGATATGATATGATATGATATGATGTTATATGATATGATGTGATGTGATATATTATATTATATTATATTATATTATATTATATTATATTATATTATATTATATTATATTATATTATATTATATTATATTATATTATATTATATTATATTATATTATATCTCAGGGGCCAGAGGGGCAGGATTTCCAAGCGAGCTGCTCCCCAGCCGTGCCCTTTAAATCCTTTAAATCCCCCTGCCCTTTAAATAACCGCTGCCTTCCGAAGGCATAAATACTGACAGGGGGAAAGGGAAAAAAAGCCACAGCTCCCTCCTGAAAGACCTAATTTATCTGGAATTATCTACCCTCGGCTATAAATCCTCTGTAAAACTTGGCACGAGGTTTAAGGCAGTTACAGCAGTGACTGTATATTTTTATCCCAAACCTCGAGAAAGAGCGAACTGAAGCCGCGAACGGCAGCTCTGGGTTGTTGCTGGTGAGAGTGGGGCTGCAGGGACTGCCTTGCCTGGGAAGCACACGCAGCACTTCTCATCAATTCCCACCACATCTCTTTGGTTTCCTTCTGAGCCATTCCTGCCTGAGGAATTATTTTAACATGCCAGTTTTCCTTGCTGGCAGTAGATTCAGAAGAGCGTCCCGAGGGCCCTGGCTGGAGCAGCAGCTTTAATTCCCTCGCTAACATTTGCCGAGCACCACATCCTTTGGAAACCAGGGCGCAGGTACACGCATCCCTGCTGTCCACCTACTCAGGCTCAAGGCAGGGCTGGCTCTGACTCATCTGGCTTCCCACTTTCTCTTCTTTGTTCTTCTTGTCTCCCTGAAGCAGGAGACAATCCAGCTTTTATTTAAATCAGGCCCTATAAACATAAGCAGCAGCAAAGTAGGGCAGGTTTTTAATGGCTTACACCTCCTTGGGCTTGGCTCCTTCCCTCCAGCCTCTGTGATCCCGGTCCATCTCCACGTTCAATGACATTTTTGTGTGCACTGGGACCTGGCTGTTCGTTTCTGGGAGTGCATTCCCTGCACAGAAAAGATGAACAAATCAATTAGGCAAGCACAGCATGGCGAGGAGGAGCTGTGTCCACGGGCAGCTGGGACCTCACGACACCCTGGGGACAGCTCTGCCCTGTCCCCCAGGTGCCAGCCCTGTCCTGAGCCCTGCTCGAGGAGGGACGTGTCCCACCCCCTGTGAGCTGCTCAGTAGCTGTAGAGTCCCACGGCTGCAGTAAAGCAGAGCTGTCCAGGCTGGGACCTCCGCAGGAACTTGTGGCTGGGACTCCCTGCTGGAGCTGGGACACCCGGAGCCGGGACACCCGGAGCCGGGACACCCGGAGCTGGGACACCCGGAGCTGGGACACCCGGAGCCGGGACACCCGGAGCCGGGACACCTGTGTGTCCCCAGCACGGTGTGGTTTTGTGCCTGCGCTGCTGAAGCAGCAGGGCTCGGGGTGAGCTTGCTGAGGAGCTGTGGGCAGGGAGTGCCCGTGGAAGGGCAGCGGGCAGCGTTTCCCTGCAGGACACCCCGCGCTGTGCCTGTGCTCGGTGAGAAGCTGTTGTGCATCCTCATGCCCTGGTGGGGCTGTGGTGGCGGCCCAGGGCTGGGATGGGAGCCCAGCTCACTCTGGGGTGTTCTGGGAGCTCAGGGGGCTGTCATCGCCACCGTTCCATGGCCAGCACACAGAGGGACCCTAACGCCTGCTCTCTGCTGTCCTTTGCAGGGATGGAGGGATGCGAGTGCAGCTGGGAGCAGCAGGACACCGGCACAGCCCCGTGGGGGTCGGCGTGAAGGCGATTCCCTGTGAGGACACAGCAGGAGCCCCCCGGACCCTGCAGGAACGTGGGACCTCGCTGGGAACAGGGAGAGCTCCCCTTCTGCCCCGTCACCCGCCGCGTTTCCAGGGATCTCCGCCGGGATTTGGGGCTCGGAGCCCGGAGGCGTGCTAGTGCCGTAGGACTGCTGGAGAGCCTGGCAGCGATGGGGGACCCAGCAGCGAGGAGGGGCGTTCCTCCAGGAGGCCCCGCGGAGCCGTGAGCCCTGGCTGCTGCTGGCGGAGGCTGCCTGGGGCTGGGCTGCTCAGCCAGCCCTGGGCCGGGGGCAGAGCCGCGCTGCCCGCAGGGCACGGCCGCCGAGGGGCGACGGGCCGGGGGCGGCTCTGCCGGGGCAGCCCCGAGCCCCGGGACGGCGGGGCTGCCGGCCGAGCCGCCGCTGCTGCTGCAGGCGCCTCTTCCCGGGGCGGCGGCGGGGGACAGAGCGCTCGGTGGCCGGGCTGGCCGCGGGTGCGCCCCCGCGCAGCGCCCGCGGCACCGCTCCCCTAGCGCCGACACCGCCAGGGCCGCCCGCCTCGCCATGGTGCTGCCGCCGCCCGACAAGCGCCACGTCTGCCTCACCACCATCGTCATCATGACCAGCATGGCCTTCATGGACGCCTACCTGGTGGAGCAGAACCAGGGGCCCCGCAAGATCGGCGTCTGCATCATCGTGCTGGTGGGGGACATCTGCTTCCTCATCGTGCTGCGCTACGTGGCCGTGTGGGTGGGCGCCGAGGTGAAGACGGCCAAGAGGGGCTACGCCATGATCCTGTGGTTCCTCTACATCTTCGTGCTGGAGATCAAGCTGTACTTCATCTTTCAGAACTACAAAGCGGACAAGAAGAACCTGGAGACGGTGGCCAGGAAGGCTCTGACCCTGCTGCTCTCCATCTGCGTGCCGGGGCTCTACCTGGTGCTGGTGGCCTTGGACAGCATGGAGTACATACGGACCTTTCGGAAGAAAGAGGACTTGCGGGGACGCCTCTTCTGGGTGGCCCTCGACCTGCTGGATATCCTGGACATCCAGGCCAACCTGTGGGAGCCGCACAGGACCGGCCTGCCCATCTGGGCAGAGGGGCTCATGTTCTTCTACTGCTACATACTCCTCCTGATCCTGCCTTGCGTGTCCCTCAGTGAGATCAGCATGCAAGGGGAGCACATCGCCCCGCAAAAAATGATGCTCTACCCCGTCCTCAGCCTGGTCACCATCAACATCGTCACCATCTTCATCCGGGCCATCAACATGATCTTGTTCCAGGACAGCAGGGTCTCCACCATCTTTATCGGCAAGAACATCATCGCCATCGCCACCAAGGCGTGCACCTTCCTGGAGTACAAGCGGCAGGTGAAGGAGTTCCCGCAGAACGCCATCGCCCTGGAGCTCCAGCAGAACTCCCTCTCGCACAACCAGACCATCCACAGCGTGCAGGGCATCCCCCACGAGCCGTCGCCCACCAGCGAGATCCTGGACACATGAGGGGTCCCCCAGGCCGGCGTTGGTTCAGACGGCCGCGTGCCGAGCCGAGGAGGGATGATGCTGCTCTCCTGCTGCCCGCTGCAAGCACGACAGACAGATCCCGGCAGCGAGGGCTCTTCTAGGCACAGGAACACCAACCGCGTTCTGATTGAGCTGTGGAGTGTCCTCCAGACGTCTTCATCTCAGGTATAACCCTAGGAGTCCTCCAGACAAACCAAATGGACTTGCAAAGGACCTGAACCAGCGGACCCTCTCTCCCCCTCCTGCCACCATCTCCCCTCCCGAGCAAAGACCGCTAAGGTTGCAACGTCCCTTTTTACTCCCCCAGCTCCCCACCTTTACTCCAAGCCTGGATCGAAGATTTTGTTACTGGAGACCTTTTTACGGAGCGGGGACGAGGGCACGGGGGTGCGGATGCGGGGGAGGGTGGGCTGTCTGAAGCAGTAAACCCTGTGATCGTAGATGTCTCTTATCCTCTTATCTCCAGTGGTTGTGTTTACAGTTCCTATTTCTGTCGGCTGCGGGGCTCTCGGGCTGCCCCGTGGGCCGGTGTGCCCGTGGTGGGTGAGAGCAGGGAGCCTGCACTGGGGAGCGGGGCTGGGGCTGGCGTGGCTGCCCTGGCCCGGGCCCGGGGGGAACGAGCCTCCAGCAGCAATACCTGCCGAGCTAAAGCTGACCTGGTGCCGGTGTTTCACGTGTCCCATTCACTCCAAACCACTCAGCACAATGTTTCTACTTCTGGAAGGGTCCCTCTGTCTGTCTCTCCCTGCCATGGGGAGCGTCCCTGCCTGCAGCCTCCGCGGCCCCCGGCACTGCTGCTGGCACCAGGAGGGGCTGGGAATGAGGATGGCAGTGATGCATTTCACTCCGGCATCAAGAGTTTATAAAGAGGGCTGCTTTCCACAGCTACTGTATTTTTAAAATAAATATTAAAAAAAAAAAAACCACACAAAAAAACCCAACAAACAAACCCAAAAAAAGAGCTGGGAAGGATGTGCTGCCCTGGGCAGGTGGCTGGGATGGGATGGGATGGGATGGGATGGGATGGGATGGGATGGGATGGGATGAACTGGGAAGGATGTGCTGCCCTGGGCAGGTGGCTGGGATGGGATGGGATGGGATGAACTGGGAAGGATGTGCTGCCCTGGGCAGGTGGCTGGGCCTGGGGATGAGCTGGGCTGGGGTCTCCTCTGCAGGCGTGGCTGGTGGTGAGGGGCTCAGCCACGGGCAGCAGGGTGGGAGGCGAGGGCCAGCTGGACAATAAAAGCCCCATGAGAGCAATGGCTTCTGGTGGTCTCTTTTCTGCCAGCGTGGGGAGGGTGGGGCTCAGCTCTCATACAGCCCAAATCACTTGTCTTCTCTTCTGTCCACCTCCCCTGGACTTCCCAGTGCCATCCCGAGGTTCTGTGCCCTGCACTCACTGAGCAGTGAGACCAGAAAGGAAATTAAATCATTGTTCCAGCTGCAGTGCTGCCCCAGGGCTGGCTGCATCTCAGCTTCCCGTCTTCCTGGGGGGAGGCACAAGGAGACAAGCAGAAAACCTGTGTCTCAAACATGCTGAAACGGGGTATTTTTGCTTTTTCTAAACGAAATGTTGCATTTTGAGGAGATGGAATAAAATGCCTGGTGCTGTTTACATTTCTCTTCCATATTTTCCCCTGGCTCTGCTCGCCAAATTTGACCTAAATCAACAAATCATTTCAGTTTCCATCTTCTCAGCCCATCACAATCTGTCCAAAACATTTCAGCCATCCCTGATCCAGACTTCCAATTTTAGGACCAGGCAATCGCAGTCTCGCTTGGCCACCCTGTCACCAGGGATAACTCTAATGTTAATTAAATCCACTGAGAAATAAAACAGTATCTTTGCCAACAAAAGTGAGTTTAGAACAGATTTAGCCAATTGGAAAAGTTTCTTTCCCCTTTCCCTCGGGAAACATGAGAGGAAGTGGGCAGGTGATTTAATAGGTATTAGCAGAAATTAATTAAATTGCTAAATTATTCTGGAATACCTATGGAATTACATATTACATCTCTGCTGGTGCCTTTAAAATACGTGTGATTAGCATCAGTGCAATTAACTCCCAAGTATCTAATAACATTCTGCTGCTCTTTTAGGTAATTAATTTATGAGCCTTTGTTTTATAGTTCTTCCCCAGAACTGAGCAGAGGAAAAGCTTCAGGAAAACCTCTGGCATGGTGCTGTGAACCTGGGGGCTGGGACGTGCCGGCTGAGGCAGTGCCCAGCACCAGCCTGAGCCCTGGTGCAGAGATCTTTGGTCCTGGGGATAAAGGCAGTGAGCTGGGGCGTTACTCTGCTGGGCTGGGTGTATTTTTGTTCTGTCTCACCCTGACAGCTAGCTCTGCACCCTTGCCTTATCCAGGGATATCTTAATATTCCCTTGAGCATGAACTGTTGCTAAGGTTTCTGGGGGTGTCTGGCTGTGCTCCCTGAAGGCAGCCTGCATGGGAAGGGAATATTGCTTTGTCCTCCTGGCCCCATGACTTCCAAGAAGGTCTAGGAGTGCCCACAAGTTTTTCTTGAGTATGCAAGACCCTGCTTTCTGCTGCTGATGTGAGGGTTTTGTCTTTGTGGAGTGGGGTGGAAGGGCTGCACTAGGAGCTGGAGCAGGAGCGAGGTCCTGGAGGTGATGCTCACCTGGGATGCAGTGAGGTGATGCTCCCCTGGGCTGCAGTGCAGTGATGCTCACCTGGGGTGCAATGATGCTCACCTGGGGTGCAATGATGCTCACCTGGGGTGCAATGATGCTCACCTGGGGTGCAATGATGCTCACCTGGGGTGCAATGATGCTCACCTGGGGTGCAATGATGCTCACCTGGGGTGCAATGATGCTCACCTGGGGTGCAATGATGCTCACCTGGGGTGCAATGATGCTCACCTGGGGTGCAATGATGCTCACCTGGGGTGCAATGATGCTCACCTGGGGTGCAATGATGCTCACCTGGGGTGCAATGATGCTCACCTGGGGTGCAATGATGCTCACCTGGGGTGCAATGATGCTCACCTGGGGTGCAATGATGCTCACCTGGGGTGCAATGATGCTCACCTGGGGTGCAATGATGCTCACCTGGGGTGCAATGATGCTCACCTGGGGTGCAATGATGCTCACCTGGGGTGCAATGATGCTCACCTGGGGTGCAATGATGCTCACCTGGGGTGCAATGATGCTCACCTGGGGTGCAATGATGCTCACCTGGGGTGCAATGATGCTCACCTGGGGTGCAATGATGCTCACCTGGGGTGCAATGATGCTCAGCTGGGGTGCAGTGATGCTCACCTGGGGTGCACTCCACCACGTCACTCCCAAAAGTGGCTCAAGGCCCATGTTGGTGAAGGGAAGGAGAAGAGGCTTTTCTCACCTTCTGCTTCTTCTCATCTTCCTCATCCTCCCCAGGGCTCTGTGTGCCTCCCGTTCTGCCTCAGCAGCTCCGCCCTTTTTCTCCAGAGCCACCTCGGGGGCTGGGATGCCGAGCAGCTGCGGGGGAAGGCTGGGGAGCAGGGAGAGGCGAGCTGGCCGGGAAAGGCAGAGCCAGAGCAGCCCTGGGGCCATGGAGACAGCTCAGCAACAGCAGCACTGCAGCTCTTCCCTGCTGCTGGCCGAGGGTGATGCCTCTGCCCCAAAATCCAGCCCTGCCAGCACAGCCAGGACCCCCGGGAGCCACGGGAGCAGCAGGAGGGATGGCTGGGCAGGGTGGCTGGCTCCCAGCCTGGCTGGTTGTTAGGGGAAGGTGATACTTTGCTGTGGGCAATGAGAACTAAAGGAAACAATTAAAACTAAATAGGCTGGAACCGAGCAATTTTTCAGCTTTCCGCTGAGAAGAAAAGGAGCTCCTTTGTGAAGAGTGAAATCCTCCTGGCAAGCTGTAGATTCCCACCTGATGAAGCAGAAGCTGCACAATTAAAATGCAGAAGAGATGCAAATTCCCTGTGTTCCAGTGGCAAATCCACGGGGGTGGTGGCCCTCGCTGCCATCAGAACCAGGCCACGAGCACAGCGGAGCCCTTGGCAAGGAAGGCTGGTGGTGCTTTGGGGACCCAGCTGGTGCTGCCCTACCAGAGACCAGCCCACTGCTCAGTGCTGAGGCTGCCCTGGAGCTTGGGCACCCTCTGGAGATGTAAAACCTCCGAGCCTTTGTGCCAGGCTGGTCCCAAGGGCCAGCGAGCTGCACAGAGGATCCAACATCGCCTGCTGGGCACTGGCAAAGGCTGGGCCCTGCCCACTGGTGTCCCAGGCTTTGTGGGGCTGCAAACCAGGAGCTCCCAAGCAGAGCACAGCCAGCCATTGGGCTGTTCAAATGCACCAAGCCCAGACAAACCTGTCACACTGCAATAGGAACAGCAAAGTGACCACACGGACTCTCCAGCCTCGGTTCCACAAGACAGCAAGTTTTATTCTTCCAGATCTTCTTTTCTAGACAGTTCTGAGCAGGTCTGAGGAGGTAAAACTCTCACTGCTCATGAAACCGACCCATCACCATCACTGGGCAGCTGGAACAACACCCCTGGGCCGTTTCTGACAAGCAAACAACAAGGAACAAACAACACCTGCAAAGGTTGTTTTCCTTCTCCAAGGACTGTTGGGATTCCTCCTCATGATTTCTCAGGCCAGAGGGAGAAAGTTGTGTGACTCAGTTTCCCACAGGCTCAAGCTAGAGCCTGAAGCCTCAAAATCTCTTATTTGAGCACTGCCAGTCCCCACACAAACCCAGCCGGGTCCTGTCCCCCGCCCAACACTTGGGTGAAGCGGCAGCAAAGGGCTTCACTGGCTGCATTGCTGACGTGAGAAGAGGCTGGCCCAGCTCCTGTGCCCCCACAGCCCCGTGGTGGCTGCATCTCCTGCCTGCCCTGGGCTGAGCTCTCCCCTCCTGGCAGCTCCCATCCAGCCCAGGCAGCCCCAGCCTCTCGCTGCTGTCTCCAGCTGTGTGCTGGGATGGTGCTGAGCACGGCTGGAGCTGCAGCTCTTCCTTCCCAAGGTTCTGGCAGCTCTCACACGTCCTGCTCGTCCTCACCTCCTTTTGGCAGGTGAAAATCTCCCGTGCTGCAGCCTCTGTGCCAGGCTGGGGGAGGATTCAGCCCCATTCAGGAAAGTGCCCCACGGTTCTGCTGCCAGATTCTCCATGTGAGCACGGCTCTGGTGACTCTACAAGGGCTTGGGAGGATTTGGGAGAAGAAATGCACCCACCAGGGCCGTGCAGCACGAGGATGGACTCTCTGCAGTGCCAGCCAGCGAGCTCCCTGCACTGTCACCTGGAACATAAATAAGGGATTTTTTTCCCTTTGGATCAGTCTGGGTTAATTTGATGAGCAGAGACAGACTGAACTTTCATGCCAATAACTGTTTTCCTCCCACCTGCCCCAGATTTGCTTCACTTTTTTAGCTCAGGCCAATGCTACAGCAGAAAACACAGGGCAGGTGGCCAGAGCACCTTGACAGCAATTCCCATCCTCCTAAATTCCTCCTGCCCAGGAACTGCGGCAAAAGTTTGAGTTTCACACCAATTTAATCCTAACTGAATGCCCTGAATTCTTCAGTTGTGTCTGGTTTTTAGGTCTGGCATCCTTGAAGAACAATATCCATTTAAATTGCTGA